ATGATTTAAGATTATAAAACCACATATTTATATAATTGAATTTGGCTTCACATTGCATATTCACAGGTCTATCATAGCTGGGCTGACTAGATACTGTATCTTCCTTTTCACTTTGTTGACCAGCCTATTATTATTAATCCTGATTGATTTTTACCTGCAGTTAAACATTGTTGCTTTTTTCAGATTTTTAATTGGCCACAGGCGAGAACAGCTCAACCTGACGAGTTCACTCGTGGGTTCGTACACACTGGTGATCTCGTTCTGTATGCTGGGGACGGTGCAGAGGAGTGATTACAGGTGAACACCCATTGCAGTGCAGAAGAATTTGCGGTTGGCCAATAATATTCTCTTAAAGACAGACAGCTTTTCTGGTCAGACTCATTCCTCTCACCCAGTTTTGATTTTAATCACCATTGTGATTTTTGAACTTCATTCATGACAAATATGAGTTTAAACCATGCAGGCATATTACAATTAGAGCATAATATTTTAGAGTTTTCAAGCAATGCATTTATCTAATCTGTAATTTATTCTGTTACAGGAAATTTTGTGTTCTATATCTCTTGCCTAAACTTTCAAACACAAGTATGTCACAATGTAGTGTTTATTCATTAAAAACATCTTTTTACAAGTTTAGTAAAGTAATTTGTTAACTACTGCTGCAAAAGTCTGCATAATAAGTTCCTCGAGGACATAGTGATAACAGCATGGAAACAGCTGTGTGGAACAATTTGATTAAAGCTGGTTCAAGAGCCGGTGTAGCATTGTCCTCATTTGTTGAACATTAGGAAGGCACTGCAGGATGAGGAATCATAAAATCTGAGCTTCCTCCTATTTACTTCCGCATAACCACCTTTTTTTAGATGAAAATGAAGAATTTAAACTGTCTTTACACTTAACTGTAAACAGGCGCCATCCTTCGGATGAGACATAAAACCAAGGTCCTGACTTTCTGTGGTAAAGAACTGATTTCTGGTCAATCACTTTCTATTGACTTTGTTAGGGAATTAATCAAACAAGCAAAGCGTTAAAACCAAATTAAAATTAGTAATCTGCTGGAGCCCTAAATAAGGAAAAAATTGTAATTTTACATATTAGAGAGGGGAGGGAGGAGGAATATAGGAGCTTGATTACCAACTTTGTGGAGTGGTGTCATCTTAGCCATCTCCAGCAAGACCAAAGAAATGATCTT